GGCAACTAGAAAAAGCACAATGTGCTGCAGTGTTTGCCGCTCGTCTATACTGCGACAAACTAATCTTCCTAGGTAATACGTCATCTTGCTGGTCGGTATTTGGAGGGCTTTGAGGTTCTTGGGGTTGAGGCTCTGACTCCTGCTCCGACTCTGGCTCTGTCTGCTGCATATTATGTGTTGCAACTCTCTTGAGTCTCAGCCAACAGGGATGAGAAACATGGTCTGTTGAAGTTGCCTGAAACAACCATACAGCCTTGTCTAAATATTTATATTAAAACAATATAAAAGTACAGTGATAAATTCATTATAACTTTGATACCAAGACAAAGCAAAAAAAAGTACAAAAAAAAAGGTAATTATTACCTGCCGTGCGGGGCAATTGTATTTTCAAGCTAAACATGTATTGGTTGTTGCAACTGAGATGAATTTTCTCTTACAATAAGGTCACGTTTACGATTTTTTAGAGAACTTCCACAAAGTATGCAAACATGCTTGTGGCCACGGGAAGATGAGGCACCAGGTTCATTAGGTAACCCGGAGTTGACATGCTGTATTGCCAATTGCTGACAGGCATCACATACGTAATCTTCTTCAGTGATCTAAAATAAGAATTAGAGTTGTATTATGATGTATAATTGATTAGAGTTGTATTATGATGATGTATTATGTTAGTGTAATAAAATAAGTAGGCATGTAAATACTTACTATTATTGAAGAATTCCACTCGCAGATCTTAGAAATTACTCTAGTATCAAGCTCAAAAACGACATGGTGGCGAAGTGTATCAATGCATATGTTACAATTAACACATAGCAATCGCACGCATAGTTGTCTTTGTTGTGTAGTTTGCACGATGTCTTTCACAATTATTGTATTATATATGTGCATATAAGATGTGAAAAATCAGTCCGTAAAACAATCCCGAGGTCAAAACAACAGAAGGAAATAACAATACTGGCGCGGAGCGATGACCACAGATTAAGCGATGACAAATGACGTTCCATTGTACATATGTAATTTAACAAAACGTTTAGCTTACTATGACCGACATAATTATTTTTATGACCAGAATCCAGTACATAATAAATCAGCACAGTAGTTGATTTGATGTCTACATACTAATTGAATTGAATTAAAATTAACAACTATTCATAAAAACGTGAATAATTATAGTCTTTGAATATCAAGTCCTTTCACACACGAAATGTATCGTCATTAGGTGCGCTCTGAAACTATTATTTGAAATAATTTTGAACAGTTACAACAATAGAAATAAATGGATAACTTTTTTTTGTGGCTACTTAGAGAGGTATTTCTTGTGTGTTTTAAGACCTTAAACAATAAGGGTATTTTACATAAATATTTCATATTGGGACGCTATCATTTCGTTGTCTGTACGATTTGGCCATCCTCCTTTTGTTATCACTGGGCCGCAAGCCATGTAGTAGAAATGCTACATTTTAGCACTGTGTACACTGCAGCACTGCGTCAGCTCCAAAAGCATTTAATAGCATATTGCATAATATATATATATATATATATATATATATATATATATATATATATATATATATATATATATATATATTATTAGAAGGCAGAAGTTGCAATTCAAAATCATTCATTAAAAAAAGGAGATTCCAATACAATTTGATCTATACTGTCATTGTTTCATTTGATCTCTATATGCATACCTGATTGTCGTACTTTTTTCAGGTACATTGATTACAAGAAGGCGTACAGATGTGAAAATAAAAAAAAATTATTTTTTATTTTCACAAAATTAAAAAAACAAAAATGTCAAATAAAATCAGCAATGAAAATGGCGAAGGCAAAATTGTTTCCATATCTTTTTTAACTTTCTTAAATCTCATTGTAATAGGTAAAACTTTGTTTCACAGCATATATATTCTGAATAATGTTTTAGACACTTTTCATAAAATCTTTGATTAAAAGAATTAAATAAAATCAAACAAAAGTGACTAACTTCAGTCAGTCAGTAATATCTGCAGTATCTTTGCTCTCTTGGGGTAATTAATAATGTTTTGAAAATAAAATCAAAACAAAGTTGTTACAGACAAATATTAATTTAACATTAATTATTAATGTCTCAATTGTAAAGACTTACTTGCACAAAATCTTAGACCATCTGATACACGTTGTACAAAATTCGTACTTTACTCTTAAATTTAGGTATTTTATCAGGTTACACTGAGGTATCTGTCAGCTTACATGTAAATCATTCAGTAGTTCATTTTCTCCCGCATCAATATCTAACTGTAATTATTATTTATGCTCCCATTTAGCAGTCTACTATGTCATGCCTGTAAATCTTAATTCTTTTGAAATAAAATTTCCCTTTCCATACGTGTAGGATCAAATAAAGAGAATTGTTTCTTATTTTAAATTTTAAAAGCATTATTTCTACCTTTGTTTTATTAACTTAATTATTGCTTACCTTTGTGTTAATTGTAAATTGATCATAGACACCATTTAATTGTAAAAACTTACTTGCACAAAATCTTAGACCATCTGATACACGTTGTACAAAATTCGTGCTTTACTCTCAAATTTAGGTATTTTATCAGGTTAAACTGAGGTATCTGTCAGCTTACATGTAAGTCATTCAGTAGTTCATTTTCTCCCGCATCAATATCTAACTGTAATTATTATTTATGCTCCCATTTAGCAGTCTACTATGTCATGCCTCTAAATCTTAATTCTTTTGAAATAAAATTTCCCTTTCCATAAGTGTAGGATCAAATAAAGAGAATTGTTTCTTATTTTAAATTTTAAAAGCATTATTTCTGCCTTTGTTTTATTAACTTAACTTGGTCTTAATTGTAAATTTATCATAGATACCATTTAATCATGTTTGTTATAAATCTTTTATTATATATTTTTTTAATTACTGCCAGAGTAGCATTTTTGCAAAATCTATAACAAATTGATAGCTAATTATGACCTTTACCTTGTTCTTTCATTTGCTTAAATATAATTGGGTTTATATTTGGATCAATTAATATTTATTTACGGACATTTTTATGTCCATCTTGAGGACAAGGTGAACAATTTCGTTAAGAAAAAAAAAAAAAAATATATATATATATATATATATGTTTTAAGGCTTACATATTGAAAGCGCTAAACAATTTGTCTGCAAAATTGTATTATCTTCCACTACATTCATATTATACCGTACTAACTGCATATTCAGGAATATGTGGGTGTGCATAGTCAATGTTAATGCATAGTCAGAGTTTTATTCAATTTTTTTCTTAGCTATATTTTTGTTGCTTTATGTAGTTTTTTCCACAATTTATTATATTGATTATAATTTCAAATATTCTTTTTAAAGTTGTATTATGTATGAGTATGTTATGTTGTTATAATATATAAAATGTTCATTTTGTTAAAAAAAATAGTATATTGATTACACATGTAAACAATGGTAAAGTGGGCATAAGAAGTCACTTTTGTAAAGTATTTGTATTTTTAAAAGGTATAGTTGTTACACACATTTAAAAAATAGTTATGTTACTAAAATATGATAACGTTATCATGTACATATTTTAAAGATTAATAATACTGCTCCAAAATGTATCTTTTTATATTCAAGTAAAGATGCACCACTATTAACAATTAATTGATACTAATTCATGAAATTTTGGAAGAGGAGCAAAACTTTGGAAAGGATTCAAATACCAATGTGCTCTTAAATGGGAAGGAGTTTAGTCTTGTGGCTACCACTGTTTTTCTCGGTATTACTATTGGGCTCATGCGACTAACATTGAAACCATATTCGTTTTGTAAAATAGAGCCGTCGTATGGACAATTAATATCTTAAATTGTAAAGAGTCCCTTAGAGAAAATTTTAATGAAATAACCCGCATTATAATTATGAAAATGTATTGTATGTAGGTACATAAAACATAAATAGCTTTCATAATATTTAATAGGAATAAAGATGTTCATACTTTAAACACAAGGAATAAACATAGCTTTTAATACCAGTTACTAAGACGTTCAATACTCCATTGAACCAGTAGTTCTTTTATGGGGCAATGTCTATACGCTTTTACAACAAAATCCCAGAAAATGTACAAAATTTGTGATTTAACAAGTTTAAATGTTTTGTTAAAGAAAAAATGTACAAAAAGTGTTTTATAATATCAAAGAATACAGCAAATAAAAATAAACTTTGGGAATGAGGTGCTGAGGTGCACCACCATGCTTGTTCTATTAAAATTTATTTAAAAAATACAAACAAAATTATTGTAAAGTGAAATATGTTAAAGAGTCGAACCAGTTGTAAATAAAACATGATATTCAATAAGTTTTATGTAATAATCTATATTGAATAAAAATTATACTATGTATTCTATTCGCTGTCTACTAACCAGTAGGGACATTGTATAAAGAAATCATAATTGATATTGTGCAAATATTGGTAAATTTAACACATCTAATGTTAATCAATAATTAAGCCAAAAATTTTTAAACAATAAACATTTTAAAAATAACCGGTTTTTATTTTTGTAGCAGAAACTAACAATAAGCAACTAACATAGCAAGAAACATAAACAACTATTAATTACATTGCAACACTTGTGTGATGTAATTGATGGTTGTATAAAAAATAAAAATTGTAAAGTGCAAATAAAGGGCGAGCTTAAAGCACTTTTAATTTAGCGCCATCTGTTATGCGAAGCACGTATCAATAACGAAAATAAAATTTGAGTTGCACATCTATCTCTGTTATATACACAGTAATATATGTCAGTTAGTGTCGCGCATGTGCTACACATGCACGCGTTTAGCTTGGGTGAGCAAAAAAATCTCGTAAGTGGTCATGGTTATCGCGCGTAGGAAGTTACGTGATTATTTTGTATTACGTTTATTTGTTTTGTTTTAGTGTCAACATGAATAAAAACGACGAAAATATAACAAGATGGTTAGAAGAAATATATTACAAAGTAAATTGAGAGGTTAACGTCGAGATGTCGGATGAAGAGGAGACCCGTGACGAAGATTGCAGCGATGTGGACTTCGTTTTTACTGACAATTCCGTGCCTACAGGAGACTGCGAGTCTGATGACTGCTTGGGTATTACATCTTCAGAGGAAATCGACGAAGATCATTCCACTGGTGAGAATAGACTTGTGTCTTCACAGCGTGTGAGAGTACCAGTTACTAAAGATGATAACTTCTCCTCGGATTACAAAATACCTTTATCACAACTTCAAACGAGAATTCAAAGCTACTTTGGTAAAAATCTTTTCAGGTGGTCTTCTGTTCCGAGTGCTATTCGTACCAGCACTCAGCAATATAATATAGTGTCACAAGCACCAGGACTAAAACCACAATATCGTGATGTATTCAATAAATCGATCACACCTCTCGACCTTTGGAGTCTTTTATTCACGAATGAGATGCTCGACAAAATAGTATTACACACTAATCGAACAATAAGGCAGTTGCAACAAACATATAAAAACAAGGATGCGTTCAAGATTTAGATCGAATAGAACTAAAGGCCTTGCGACGGCGAGGGGGTAATGAAAACACTCCTCGGGACATAAAATGTTCAATACGCCGCATTTTGAAAATTGAAGATGAAATGCCCAGCTGTTCAGATGCAGATAAACTAGAAAAACTTTAAACGTGTTCAACTTGCAATCCCAATAAAAGACGCAAAACATTTCAAATCTTGATTATTATTTTGGTATAAATTTTACGTCAAAATGATGTAGAACATCGGATATATTGGGGCTTAGATCGAAACTTTTTCGGTCGTTAATTGAATTATGTCGAATGTTTTTCCTTACGTAAAAGGCATATAACGAAAATATATTTCATAATAATTAAGGTATAAGATACTAGAGAGATAAAAATATTTTACTCATGAATGATTTTCAATAGAATCTACAAATTAGAGCTTGCAAATCATGTCTCTTGGTGTTTTGGCCTAAACATGCATCGGCAGAATTATTATTACTTAATAAATAAAAAGTTATCTTAAGTTTACTCCGAGCTTATTGTAATAGAGAAAACGAACTATTTTTACCAAGTAATTGTTATTTCAAGCAACGAACGGAAAACATAATTATAATTTAATAAATTTCGCGTTTTTTTGTCATACTCCTCTTAAGGCATGCAATAAAATGCCAATAAATGAACCCGTGGAGGCGTAAGCCCATGTAACAGGCTTAGATGAATTCTCAAGTAGAATAAATATTTTTAATTTTTTTGATAATCCACTTTAAATACGCTAGCCACTCTTTCGTAGTAAGTCTTGATCCGGCGAGAATAAATAATTTTTAAATAGATTTTTTCTTGTATTCCTAATGGTATAATTTGTAAATAATTGATGGTCCGCTCTGTTTTTTTTTTAACTTATTGTACCTTGGGGCCCTATGATAATTTATTTCATTTTTTTAATTATGCATATTATAAAGTAAGCTATGAATTAAATACTACTTATTGTCAAGCATGTAGAACCATTATTGCTCGATACCAAATGTATTGCAGTACGCTGTTTTATCACCGAGAATGACCTCCCATAGTACCAGCATAAAATAGCAGATAAATGCTGCTGTGTTTCGTATGGTGAGTGTAGAGAACCGGAAACCTTTTTTACTAAAAAAGAGGCATTCCATCTTAATCCCCACGGTTGACAACACATTTGCATTTTGATTTTTGATCGAGGATTGATGTAGATGTCTATGGACCGCAGCAACCCCTTACCATCAGGTGGTCTATGTGCCCGTTTATTACCCTTATCCTATAAAAAAGATTAATTGCGTAAGCAGGGGAGCGAATGGAACATCCGCTCAAACACAATTATTATTCTTAGAAATTAACCTTCGGATGTAATCCTGCTATTTCCGACATCAGAAGTAGGATATAGTCCCTGTTATTACCCACGTGATATAATCTTTAAATAATGTGAGGTTTATAACGTCTGTGAGAGAGTATAATGTGCCTCGCTTTGATGCGTTTGTTTTTATGTTAAATATCGTAATGAAATTTGCTGTCCTATTTACGACATTGACGTACCAATAAAGTGTAGAGTTAAGGTTTAAGGTGATGTGTTTTAAGCCAAAAGTTAAATATTTTTGTTAGATTTATATAAAAAGTCTACTACTAAGTTACTAACTTACCCAAGTATGTTAACAAATCTTTAAAGAAATAATGGAGGTCCCTAGATGAGTAGGTAGTGTTGCATTCCGTGGTGACAAACGAAGCCACAGTTCAACTGATGGTAAGTGGTTCCTGGGGCCCATAGACATCTACATCTATCCTCGATTACTAATCAAAATATAGATGCATTGTCACCCGTGAGGACTAAGATGGATGACCTCGTTTCCAGTTTGCGGTTCTCTACACTCATCATACGAAACGCATTAAGCTACTATTTTAATTAGGTATGCTGTGAGTTATGTTATAATTTGATATTTCATGCAAAATAATATGATTTACACGGGCAAAATTTTAATTTCCGATATTTTTAAGCTATTTACCAAACAAAAGTTTAACTTTAACATGCTATGAATTGAACAAGTGGTAAAAAAATTCTACAATCGACTTCAACACGACCGAATCGATGTATTCGAAGTCAATTAAATATGCTATTAGATAATTCAAAAATTACTGTTCACATCTTGAATAAATTTATTTGGGACTACACGAGAAGCACCAGCTTTCAGGTAAAAAAAATCAACAAAATCGTTTCACCCAGAGAAAATGTATGAGATAACACACTTAAAAAATACGGTTGAATTGAATAACTCCTTATTTTTGAAATCAGTAAAAATAAGTAGTCTTTTCTCGTCTCCCAAGTATGATTGGCAAAAATATTTCATAATATACTATTAGTTTTATCTGTGTATAAGGTTACGCCAAAACGCACATTTAATTTACTATATTAGCTGGCAATATCCTTCCTCTTCTCTTTCGATTCCTTCCTGCAAGGGCACGCCTAATGAGAGACTAGACATCGTGGCGTCATTCCGTTCGGTCAATGAGACGGGCTGGCCAAAAGTGAAAGGGCCGGAAACACGCCGCTGGCGCAGACCTGAGTTGTTGACGTGCGCCACCGCCGAGCAGTTGGATCTCGATTTTAGATATGATGAGAGATGCTCCCTGTCGCAGTCGAGCCACAGAACAATTTTGTAATGATCACTTGCACATTGCCGTTCGTCATGCACTAGTGCAAACAATTTGTCGTAGCGTTGAACGGTCAACTCCAGTGCATTTTATCGTCGCGCACCGCTCACCACAGCAGCAACATAGTGCCACCAGCCTCGATGTCTGAGTAAAAGGCCACGTGCAGCCACACCAGGTAAGCTGGTTCCTATCTTGAGCTGTTTTTATTTGTTATTCTTTTTTCCACAGCTGTAGTTGATACGTGACTAGGATGCAACAACAACTAGTTAGTGTATCGTTATAGAATTGTAGAAACATATTACAATTGTATAAAGGCTAAATGTTTTACAAATCATGTTATGAAATGCATTCAAACAAATTTAAGCTACTTATTTTTAGCAAAGGTTAAATAAAAAATAAACCAAGCAGATATCGTTATTTAGAGATTCTGTCGAAGTTTCGTCGAATAATACATTCCTTGGTTGTAAAAGTTTTTGAATAAATGAATGTAAATATGCTCATTGTATTTTGATTGTTTCCAAAAAATATCTCACTTTATTTTGTAACAAGAAAGGAAAGAGGCGTTATAACTTAGGGTTATCACGTCTACCTTAAATTTAAAACTATACGAACGGCAAAGTTTTAAAAGTGTTGATTCACATTTTGAGTGGGCACGGCCATGTGTACGGTTATTTAGACAAACAATAATTATGAGGAATACCTAAACAACTGCTAAATAAAAATTATTTCCTATAAGTGTGAAGTTCCAATACGCAGTGGGCCTCGGCAGTGAATTTTATTTGTCTCCAAGCCCTCTATTAAGTATTAAATTACACCTGTGCCTATCGTAGAATGACGCATTAATAATAGCTGTTAATTTTTTTATGTTGCAAAGTTTTTAGGCTTAAAAAATTTCGGATTTTTTTTTAATATTATAAGTCAGTGCTTGACTACAATTCGACGTGATGGTAAATGGTGAGGCAACCGAAGATGGTAAAGTGTATTTGACTTAGCTCTTGATACGTTGGCATCAAAAACCTGTTAATTTTTACCTTAAGACACCTAATGTAGGTGTCTTAAGGTAAAAATGAACATGTAATTGGATGGAAATACAGATGCTGGGAAATGTTTCTGCTACTCCTTTGTTGTCCGCATTATGAACGTTGAAGCAAACTGTTTGGTTCAAATGCGTGGTATTTCGATAGCAAAGTAAATTATAGAGTTTCACTCGAAATGCTAAGGGCTGGAGAGGAGGTGGTGGCAGGCCTGCTGCACACCTTGTTTAATTTATGCTGGGAACTTAAGCGGGTACTGGTAGACTGGTGCAAAGCCAACTCGTAGACTCACTGACTGATCCTTTTAAGTCGCATGCGCGATACCGCTAGAACGAGTAGAAGATTATAGTTCGACCTTCATTTGTTCGTATTTCTTTTACTTTTTACCCTCATTCCCAATACGGTCTCTCCTGACATGAGACCGTTCTCGGGATCCTTTTAGCTTTAAATATCCGTCTTTATAAACGGCATGGGGCAAGGAACCTCCTGTAGAGGCTAAAGTAACGTTACTGGCTTAATGTAACTTTCGCGTCTCGGCCCTTTCTGACCAAGAAATACAGACTAAGCTTTCACAGAATTGGGAACACCGCTCCATTAAAAAATTCGTATACATCGTTTCTTGCTGCAAGCTTAATACCGAAGACACAGGCCCATACGGCAAAACGGCCACTCGCAAGGAACACCAACACCGGCAAGCCGTAGCACTGCACTCGTACCGGCGAGCCGTTGCGCTGCACTCGCACTAGCGAGCTATCTCGGAGTACTCTCCCCAGCGAACTGTCTCAGTTTCAATACTGTGGACTGTAGACTGTAAGCTATTGATTAAGTACACAACAGCCAAACCAAAAGACATCTACGTGAGATCGCACAGGTCTCGCATAGTAGATAGGTCGGTAGGTAGTAATTTAAGGTTGTACAGAGATATTCACTTATTGGTTTCAGATGCATAAATAGATAAACTTTTTTTCAAAATTAAAAGTTAAAGGAAATGATAATAAATGTATTGCGAGCCTTAGAATTCCAGACTTCTAAAATTCTCCAAACATTGTCGTAAGAAACGGCAACTGTGTGCACGACACTTACAAACCATTACACACATTTAAAAAGGAAGCTGCATGCTGAGGTGTAGGCCAGGCTGTGCGCAGACGGCAACGTGCCCAGCGCGGCCGCTGTGCGGTACTGCCGCACCCGTTATGCCACACGTAGAACGTCAAGCGCCACGTGACGCAGTGACACAGAGCACACGCCATAGGAAGCTGCCATAAGGCAAACCCACGTGGCTGTTAAAACAACACAGCACACGCTTTAGGTAACTG